ATATTAACTTAAGTGAACTGAATATTTTATATATACGTATTTGTTAGTACTTGTTCTGTCCTTTTAATTGCGTTTATATACTTACCTAGCTACTAGGTCCACTACAAGTGTAGTGATTGAACAAACTTCTTCTGTATGCAGAGTTCGGGACTTAGCAAGTGAATTGCCATTGCTTCTGCAACTTGAAGAAATCTGACTCGTACACTTTTAGGAACACTGCTTCGTATTCTGTAGATGACTTTGAAGTTTGCTTGGGGTGTAGCTTAGTGTCCGGAATCTATCAGATGTTCTAAGATAGAGCTGCGGGGCATCGTTTTTCTCCTTTGTAAAACCATGCTGGTAAGTGTTCGATGATATGTTTTGATAGTGAACGCTGGGTACAGCCGACGTACCTGGCTCTACAAGAGCAGTTGAATTGGTAGATAATTATATATGAATACGGTTGTACAGCTATGTGAATGAATTCGCCGAAAACAGTCTCTCCACTGAACGTCTTCTCTTTTTCATATGACTCAATGGGGATTTTTAAGCTACATAAAAACTGAAGTGTCGGCCATTAATCATAAATGGAGCAGAAACACTTAAATAATAATGTTCTTTCTGGTTAGATAGTGGTCATCAAACTGATATGTTTAAATCAATTAAGATAGCTAAAGTTCGTGTCAGTTCCATTCTGGACTCGAGAATGTTCTTGTAACTATGTCTATATACTGTTATTCCCTCAGGTTCCGAGAGGAAGATAGGGCTTCAACAGGAAATCACCATTTCACCCTGTTCTCTGCAGTTTTCTTAAGAAGGTTCCACAATTTCACCATGAGCAGCTTTCATTTTATCCACATCTCCTCCATGTCACTCAAGGACCCATGCCCAACTCGTTGTTTCCCATTTAGGTTTCACTCGAGGGTCTGGAACACGATATCACTCTGTAGAGGACCGTCAAGTCATTTGAACCTTAGGCGTTTCACCATCAATGACCAATTTGTATATCCGTGCGGAATGAAACATGGTGGCCAAGACAATTTTCGAGGGATTAGAGATCAGCGAGGGCATTGCGGTGTGATTGTGTGTCTCTATAATCTATTGATATCATCGGTAAAAAATACACCTTTTGTTTTTATTTGATTGTAGCTTGATTCCACACCGTATTTTTGGTAGAAGTATGGGATTTTCAGCATGTGATATCGGTAGCCCAATTTTGCGGGCCGACCATAGATATCGGGTGTGCGTCGGTAGGGGATCGAACCCGGAACCATGTGCATGGTCGGCGAGAGTCCTAACCATTGTGCAACCAACGCACACCTTCGAGTCACTGTGAGAGTTTATTCTCCCTTTGCTAGTTGGGGTGGTGTTAAGATAAGCCAGGCTACTTGGTTAGATAGGCCAGACTAAACAGTCAGCAGGTAGTGTGGCCAAAGTTCAAATCTAGCAGGATAGATGGTTACACGGTGCAACCATGAGTGTTATTTCTAGTTGAAGCGAACAAGAAGCTTAACTGATTCGCTTGCTAGAACTCAACAGCTTCCTCAGCATGTATCCCATCCATCTCCATTTTATTCGCCATGTTTACTGGGCGACAGGTTCTTGACTGGTTCGTTTCCATTATGGTGTTCAACCGCGTGATATTAATGGCTTTTGCCTTTATGGTCAATAACTGAAGCATTTAGATATTTCATATACCGATATTAAAACTGCTTAAGTGTGATACTTATTCTGTATTTATATTTCTCAATGACTGAATTCCAGGAAATCAGAGAACAACTCAGAGGGAGCAGAAGTCAGGAATCCGTATATGGCAGAATTATTTGTATTGTGTGACTGTAATTGAGAAATGCCGACAAACAACAATGAATATTCAGACAACATAGTGATAGGATGTGTTAACCATCTTACTAAGGTTATATGCAACGAAATAAAACGACCCTATGTTATCCTAGTCAATTTGTTCTTCTTACTTTGGACAATCATCTTAGTTAATTTTTTAAAAACTAACCTCTATTAATGCATCAACGCCATTTTCTTTGTGTTAAACTTTATGCTACTCATTACTAGTAAGTAGTTTCAGTCTGTATTCGCATTTACTATTTCATTGACGTGTAAATATAACCCTTCGAAGTTAAAGTATCGTAGCTAAAGTCAAGGTCTTTCAAAAGTCAACCTTCCAGAACCAATCAGATACAGGGATTGCTGGGAAAGGTTATGTCACATTAAATCACGCCTGCTTCTTTGAACTTGAAGAGGGTCGATACAGTATTCTATTTATTCCCCAGGTATTTTCTCTGTAAATCTGTAGTGTTAGATTAAGGTTTAGGATCTAGGGTTAAGGTTAGGGTTAGACTTAAAGTTGGGAGTAGAAGTTAGGACTATAGTTAGAGATAAGAGTAGATTAGAAAACAGTGTTAGAAATATCAATAGATCTCAAAGTAGCATGACCTACAGTCAACTGGATGAATGCATCTATAGCATGTGGTATGATTTCTGTACAGATCATCTGTGAATTGAGTCGGTGACATTGTTACAACATGCAAGCGACAATTATTTGACTTTTTTGCATCCGAATTCTAACTGGTTGTTCAAGGTCACCTCAGTTTTGGATATGATAGTTTAAATTGGCCCATAAACCTTCATTTGCATAGAAATATCTCTTTTGTCATATGTGCCTATATATTTTCCGAGAATTAGACAGATTTCACCTCAATCTTGAGAAAGCGGAAGTGAAGTTTTCTGGACACAAGATTGAAAAGAGTATTGGATCAAGCTCAGATCCTTTTCTAGGGTCTTTGTAAACCCACATAAGTAACAGTGAGCTACTCCTAAAATTATGCGCAATTACCCGAAAATAGCTCTACCGCACCAATGGCTACTGAGGATAAGGGTTTTAGAGTAATTGTAGGGCATAACTACAGTAAGCTATACAGGGGTAGATGGGAAGGAGTTTGGAACATTTTGATCTTTCCACAAGACCTTTATATGCTCTGATGTTGATAAACTTTTAATATCGTTTCTCACTTATATTAGGTCTCATTGGGCGTATTCAATCTAGGTAGCGAGCTCATGTTTCACATGCGAAATAGACAAGTAAGAAAAGCTTGGGTAAAAGAGGACTGAAATGGTCAATTAGCTGTCACAGCCTTCATGTAGGAAGTCTGCTGAGTAGATTTATTCCAGCTATCATGAAGGTAGTGAGGGGGTGTTCTTATACTGGCGTTCTGAATGTTGCCTAATCACTTGTGCACCGATCCATACTAATTATTTTTTCTCTGTGAACTGACCATCTACAGTGACAGCACCTTAAAGTTAAAGATCCATCAATTTGGTAGACTAAGCATAAAATAGGAATCGATTATTATTTTTTTACCTAACTGATGGCTGTAATTTATCTACTTCTCAAGAGAACTAGTGTAAGTGTACCAGTCCATCTGCGCACTCCCGTTATTGAAGCCTCAAGGCGATGCCAAAGGGTTCCAAGGGTAACTCTTGCAGCGTTAGATAATTCCACAGAATTATTAGCCACAGCCTTCATCACTCAACACTGGGCGCTGACCCTCACTGTTTAAGTCGACTTGTCTTGCTGGAGGCTCACAGTCACACCATTTGGCATGCTGTCGTGTTACGTTCGGTTATTGAAGCAATCAACTTCGTACTGCGAATTAGGTCCCGAGATATACTTCTCATTTTTGATTATCAGTTTGGTGTATTTCTTTGTCTCTGGTCTACGCGGAACGAATAATGGGGGAGTTGTATGTATTGGATCTTGCGTCAGTATACGTCGTACTATCCATAAACGTCAACACTCAGCCTCTAAATTCTAAAAGATCGTTAGTTGGCGGACAATATTCGTTATCTCTGGTGCTATGAACACACATAAATTACTCTGAAGCTATACTGTTCTTTGTCAAAATGTTTGTTTCTAACTGTATGTTGAATAAAGTGTTCACGGAAGGCTCTTTCTCGTAACCTGAACTACTAGACCTGTTGGACTGTCTGGATGGCGATTCCTGGGCCAACTGACAAGTCAGCTTGACGAGACCAGTCCAGTAGGGATATCTCTCTAATCTCCTGAGGACTTTGAAACGCTTAATTACATACTGAATAGCAGCTATAACTTTGAAGACTAATTAAAATTTGTTTGAGCGTGATGCTCATCTTGACCACCAGACTTACCTCCGGAATCTAACTTTAAATGAGATCAATCAAAATCGCCTAAACTTAGATGGATGCTGTATTCATTCAGTTTTTTGAGGTACTTCAGGGTGAAGTCCTTCGTCGCTCATAAAGACTACCTTTTTCTTTTTGCAATTGCGATCGTGAACTAGGTAGATCGTCTTCACTCTAAGAATAGAGTCTCAGAAACTTGATTCTCCCACTATGTTTCTCCCTGCACGCAACGTATCTCTTTTCCATGCCCATATTTAGTTTAAAAGTAGTGCATATGAGTGGAGTGGATTTTTAATTTTTGAACGGTTGTTCAACTTGCAAGTCGTTATGACCAGAGTTTATGGAGTTTGGAAGCAGGGATTGATTTAGTTTTGTTCATAATGTGCGTATACAGTTGTCGTTTGACAGAATGTAACTTCATACCTCAGCTGATAGGTTTTGCAACGACAACTGCTCTTTATTTTAATCCAGTAGTCTTTCCGGATGGTCTGTGAAGATAAATTAATCTCCTGTCCTACCTATTAAATTCCTATGTTCCGTTCAGCGTATGACTATGGACTGAGGAAAGTGGACATAGAATATGAAATCTCGTAGAATTAAGGTGTCTCTGTTTCCCTGACCGAAAGGTTGGTGAGACGACATTTTAAAGTCAAAGTTGTTTCATGACTTGGGTACCAAGCATACATTTTCCACAAAACATTGTCACCCATATTTTTATTGGGCTCAACAAAGCTATATCACTCCATCGGAAGTCTAAAAATTTGGAGCTATTTCGAAATACGAAGGTGGGAATGACGAGAAGTCAAGAGGTGTATGCAATTTCGCCAAGCATACATTGAACACTAGAATGACCTTAAGGCGCACTGTCGGAGTATCTCGCTACGCCGATAGAGTTGGTACATGCACTTTTTGTTTTGACTTCTAACGTTTGTGGAAATTAGGTCGGAATGTTTTGTCATCGGAAACCAGTAGTGTTTTCCATCTCATGTATATTTTTCTAAGTGCTGATTTACCACGGATAAAATTAATCATAGCATTGTAAAATATAGTGCTAAATAGTTCAAATACTCCTAGTTACATGGAACGTCATCTCTCATGCCTGTGAACTGTAGTCCAAAAACATGAGTATTTCAATTGCACCTGATGTTCTCTGACTGATTGTCAGTCACTTTGAGAGAGAACTTGCCCGTTTTATGCAGTGAAAACGTATAGGTATTGAACCAACAGCCTCAGAATTAGAAACTCGGTACCGGTCAAATGGGACTATAACTTTCAGAAACAATGTTTTGCTCATGTTTCAAGCTCTTTTTTGTTGTGTAACTGTTCGTTTCATTTTACCACATAAGCTACTCAGTCAAACTTCATCGCAGTTTCAATTGTAGTGAATTAGAAGTAAGTGAATAATGGCATAATCATAACAAAAGCTTCGAATGAAGTTTAAAGATACTAGGCAGGTTACTGAGCATGATTTAAGTTAGGGTTAGGATAGAGACAGGTTCTGTTTAGTTTAATCCAATTAGGAAATATTAAGGTTGGTTAGAGGCATACTAGAGTCAGATTTGGGTTAATTTAGGGTTAAAGTCTAGTTAAAGAAGGAATAAGCTTTAGTTTGAGGTGGGAATCCAACTTTGCTTCTCAGTGCAATGGCACGTTTCAAAGTCATTGGTGCTTTCGTTCCCCTTGGATCGCTAATCTTTAACCCCACCATACACAATCTAAAAGCTTTTTTATTTTATGCTAACCTTAATATCGAACCAGAAGAAGAAGTGAACTTACGGGAAACCTTATTGTTATACTGACTTTATCATCAAGGTGTCTATTTTGATGTCTTTGGTTTCCGATTTTTGATTTCCACGGTCTAAACAATTGAGTAGTATTTGATCCATACACACTCATCTGTTTGTCTTTTATCAGAAAACAGCAGTTTCATGTAAACTTTCGCTAAATGAATTACTTCCAAGCACTTTAAGTTAGTACTAAAGTAGTGTCTGCCAATTTGAATGAATCTTTATGGTGAAATACATTTGGTGAGGCTGAAGTATTATTTGCATGCTTTGATTATGCGATTAATGAGTTCAATGGACCATAAAACATCTTCAGTCATAGCTCTAGCTGGTAACTGGGTTATTGTATATTCTCAACAAGCAGTGTTGACTGAAGTAGGACTAGGATAGAGAAGAGTGGTTTATACCTTGGCATAAATCCATGATGTCACTGACTGTTATTCTGAGCCGTTTAGTGAATTACTTAGCAATATGGTGAAAACCGTTCACAGTTTCATAGATGTATTCGCTTTTCATCACCCACAAAATTGTGAATATCTACATTATTCTTCATTAAGTTATTTTTTGATGTTTTTTTAGCCTTTTATAAAGTGTGGAAATGGAATTTTTTTCTATGTTGATTTGTAAGTCGGATGTAAGACATTGCGGGTCGTTAACCGATACAAAACTGACTGATTGCCTAAGTTTCAACAGAGAACTTTGCATAAAAGTGTAGCACTTCAAGTTGCTACATTCTATGTTGCTCAAAAATGGTAGAGATTCAAAATAACTATAATGAGCAGAATCTGTCTGTCTGTGTGTGTGTGTGTGTGAAAGAATAGTAACAGCGATAAGCATGAGTTAATTGGTGTATGGTAACTAGCAGTGGAATCCAGTGATGTTCCCACCGCGGCTCGAGTGGCTCAAGTGGTCTAGTGGATAACGCTTTGGTGTTTGAAACAATGGTCACTGGGTTCGAGCCTCGATGGGTACATCACTGGATTCCACTGCAATCACCATCCACCAATTAACTTCTAATTACATGCCCAGACATCGTCGAAGCATCTGCACAAAAAGCCGACGGACATGTTAACCTGAAACCGAACACTTCGGTCTAATCAATCGACGGGAAAATCTAAAATTGAATTAAAAAAGCATGAGGTTTTAATAGATCTGGGAGATTACACACAGTGAATGTGTCTGCGCCATTGAGAACGATAGTCTCCACCCGTTGATTATTTGTATCCTGAGGACACCAACCGCGTCGGTCGGTCGGTTTTCGACGCAGAACTTTGCACATATGTGCGGCAGTTCAAGTCGCCACACTCCATGTAACACACAAAGCAAGAGAAGAAAGTAGGAGAAATGCATAATATAGTCAGTAAACAGAGGTGTGAGACAAAGGAATAGTAATAACGAAGAACAAAACAGTTTCATTGGAAATCATAAGTCACAAGGAGTGGATGCATCTTATTTTTATTTTTTTAATATTTTTTTATTTACAGCTTGATTCCACACCGTATTTTCAGTACAAGTATGGAATTTTCAGCATGGATATCGGTAGCCTAAATTCAGGCTGACCATAGATATTGGGTGTGCGCCGGCAGGGGATCGAACCCCGGACCATATGCATGGTCGGCGAGAGTCCTAACCACTGTGCCACCGATGCATCTGCACCACTGAGAACGATTTTGAGCTAGCCATGTCACCAATTGTTTCTAACCATTGGTTTCTACCGTCCCGAGGACCCCAACCAGGAAGTCTGCACCTTCCTACGTGGCTTAGACTAACTGTTTTGGATTTCATTGGCTGGTGCCATGTTTTCGTTTGACCGCCGCTAGCTCTTTTCCAGCCTGGCCCTATATCAGCTAACATTGCCCATTGTCGAGGAAGGCGATGACTAGCCAGGCATCCGTAACACATGTCCTAACCATCTCAGTCGATGTAATTTCACAGTCTCGTCGACTGATTTCCCCAACTGCGTAGTTTACATCTCCCTACATGACTCAAACTAGACGGCAAAAACTTCATGTCGATGCGAAAAATAAAATAAAGTGTTATCGGCTAGATAGGCAATAGAATAAAACGGTAAATGTCGAACCTTAAACATTTCTAGCTCTTATTCCACATATATTTCAATGTAATTCGTGATTTTACTTAAACATCTGACTTTTCTTTTGTATTATTTTAATTTCCAGATCATAACGAGTTGATAGTGAAGCTACACAATATTATCGTGGAACAAATACTATTAAGCAAATTGAAACGAACTTGTTAAAGGTCTTATACATATATCTATTATTGCTTTTAATGGTATCACTGTGTTTCTCAAAATCTTCAATTCACTTTTCAAGACGAACATTCTTTACATCGAGGATCAGTTGTTCACCGCGTAATCTCTTCTCAGATGATAGTTATAGACTTCGTACATTCCTTAATTATACTGTATCGTTTGGTATATTCATGATTGGTTTTGGATATGGTACTGTGCCGTTATATCGTTTGTATTGTACAGTAAGTTGGAAAGTGTATTTTATTATACTAGTTTTGTATTGGATATTTCTAGAGAAAATAATTATTATAACTATGGCTTGCGAACTCAACTTCAAGGTGATAGATCTTTGGTTCAAATTGTACTCCATTTATTTCTGTCCTGGGGTGGGGGAGGGAGGTGTTGGCGTCTGGGTAGTATTATCGACCATTACACTTGCGGTTTGGCTTGTAGCATGTTATATGTACTACCGTTGATAATAATACTAATGCCATTATTGAAAAAAACTTGGTCCATTGTGGGCACCAAGTCATGTGCGAGAGTCAGGATACTGCCTGGACGCACAGACTCAATTAAGTGGTTGTCTTAAGGGGCCAGTCCTTACGAGCCTTCGACTTGAAGTCTAATCCACAAGGCAGTGGAGCAGCGTCGGGTGCTTTATTTTCACGGTTGACGGTGACTAAAACAGGTCTATACTCCATTCAGTCCTTTTGGATTCTGGAGCCTTTGTATACCATAGACTTGGAATCAGGGTTTTCCAGCCCCTCCCCTTATGTAGACCAGCATGTCCAACAGTCTGGTTGTAAGCACCAGACATCGTCATTTTTCGTTTCGCCTTTATGAGGAGTATCCCCGCTGCATGAAGGCGGTGAATAGGATTTATCTGGCGGAGGCTATGAACGCGTGGTCAGATGAGAAAAGCATTTCAAAGGGAAGACAGTGGCCTACCCACTGTCATTTTACTAGGGCATTTTTGCTGAGTGTCGTAGATTGTGTTGGTAAGACTCTCTGAGATACCCTTGGCAGACTGGTTATCGATCCCAATCGTGGGTACCAATTAAAGATGAAGTAAGAATCAGGTTCACAGTAGAATTCGGATCAGTGACCTCCAGATTACTAGTCCAGCAATTTACCAGTTGAACTATGAAACGCAACTGCTCACCAGGTAATCATTTCACTGTAATCAGCATGAGTTGTGTGTGCCTAGCTGTTATGTTTTTCTGTTTCGTCTTTTTTTGTCTTCAATTATAACAGAAAACAGGTAGCGGGACAAATGCAAATTTTGCTAAGGCTAAAACTGAAAAGATCAGAAGTATGAAACCAGTAAAAGACTATGAACTAGTTGTGTATTTTGCTGCTGATACATATTCAAAAATGTCATGGAAATTTAAACCATTACAAAAAGAGGTCAGTTTACTCTGGTATTATTATCATCATTATTATTAATACGATTATTTTTCATTCCTTTTCGTTCTGAGGGGAAAATATGCCTTCAGGCTTTGGAGTTTCATTAGCGATTGTGTTTTTTTTCATGGGGTTTGGTTGTTAGCCTCTGGCTAAATCTTCCGTCTCCTCTTCAGGGTTGCTACAGGTTGGCAAACAAGGCGAGCTGTAACAGTGTATTGGCTGGGAATCGAGTCTTAGATCACGTGAGGATTTAATAAAACTAGAAAATCTCAAGCAGTGAGTATATCTGAGCCATTTTACCAAAAATCCTCAAGCGTACTGAGAATCCAAGCGATGTCAGTCTAAATCTCCCTTACACAGCTCAAACCAACAGTCAAGGGCTTCTTCAATTCATGTTATGTATTCGTGTAACCATTGGTAACTATTTTCCAATCTAATTCTGACTTCAGTTAACACCCAGTCACACACGAATTCTAATTCAATGGTATTCTGTTCCAATGCTCGCCTTATGATTCCAAAGTTGTGGATTCCCACCCTCAGTGGGTTATTGGTGTCTGCCGCTGAAGAGAATTAAGCCAGAACGAAACAGCTGTCTAGTAGTACTGCCTGGTTTTCAATACATTTTCATTTGTGTATCGTTAGCTCAGTGGTAGAATGCTTGCCAGCCATGCGGGAGGTTTGAGTTCAATTTCCAACTGGTACACTCCTAAACCTCTATTAGCTGGTGTTACGTGACGGGTAGGACCCAGGGGCTGGCTGGTGGTTTTTTGGCTTCCATCGTTATCAGTGCACATAGAGTGAAGAGGAAGTGAAGAGCCATCAAGTAGAGGAGTTGCATTAGTAGAAGGAAGGCAAAATAATAGAGATGAAGATGGAGACAAAGATGAGTGAGGATTAGAGAGGTTTCGCGTGCACTTCGGATTGTGAGGGCGATTGTTACTTCCTGGCTGCCCACACCATGGAAGTTGGTTGCGTGACCTCAGAGCCCAGGGGACAACTGCTTGAGGCCGGTCACACACGGCCTGTTTTTGTTTGTTCTTTTTTTATTTGGTGTGTCTCAGTAGCATATTTATCACTTTTGCCCTGTGACACGGCAGCAGGAAGCGCGGTCGTTGTTAATCCGGGCCCCGACCGATCCGGCATGATATTTTGTGATTTCGTTTGAGTCATGGCACTGGATTGGGTAGCTGCTTTTTGTCTAACCGCTATCCAAACAACCTTTCTGGCATGGTAGGACCTACAGGAACATAAGTTCCAGCCAGTGTAGCTCGTTAGGTCATTGTGATTTGCAAGCCTGACCACCACGTAAAGGTAGCAGCTTTCGGTCGGGGGACCCAGGGGACAATTGCTTGAGGCCAGTTACACACGATCCATTTGAGTTGGTTTTCGGAGTTGTATTTGTCTTAAGATCTTACCGCCGGCTACGGACAGTCAGGATGTACAATCTGTGAGGTCGACCTTCTCCAACCCCTCCTTATTCAGAGTGGAGAGGCAGCATAACCGGCATGCTGGTCACCTGAGGGGAATATCTCACTGCTGTTACATTTCTGTTCATTAGCAGTACTATTTCGCCCACAGACCTCAACATAGTGCATGCGACCAACACTATACTGGTAACTCTATCCAAACGACCTTTCTGGAATGGAACATTAATTTGATCAAGTCTAGCTTGTTGGGTGATTGCGGTAGGGAGGCCTGACCACCACGTCAAGATAGCAGCTATCGATCGGGGGAAAAGAGTAAAGGTTGGTTGTAAGACTAACAAACCCACTCCGTAAAAACGACGATGCCACCGCTACTGAGACTGCGAAACTTGAATCCCTGAAAGAAAGGAAAAAAAAAACACAACAAAAGGAAAGGATAATTTATCGTCTTTAAATCAAATAGGCTTACTATAATAAGAGACTTTTAAAATTACTCAGTTAAACCGGAAAAATGATTTCAAACGCACGCACAAACACATACTCCGCTAGTCAAGGAGAATACTATTTAACTGTGTATGTGTTTAATTTTAAAATAAGTAACTGAGAACACCAAGAACAATCAGTACTTGGAAGAAAAGAAAATGCTTAAGACTAATTATCCTGTATACGCTTTGTAAACAAAGATCTAATTTCACCGATTGAATGGGGGAGACTTTAGCAGACTCAGACAGTTTCTTGTTGGTTTTTACTTATCATTATGACTAAGGCTTTTACTGTCATCGGCATTATGCCATCACGAGTATCTGTGGAGCTGCAGCTTGTTGGTCTTGACGCTGGACTTCTGAGCACAATTTTGTTACAGTGTTAACACACTACTCTCCATTTGATGAGGAGTAGATGCATCTGCAGAAGCCATTGACAACGACGATTTCGAGTCATATCACCAATTGTCTCCAGCCTTCATTGGTTTGGTTCTTATCATCCCGAGGACCCCAACCAGTTGGTCAGGAAGTCTACACCTCCCTACGTGGCTGGCTGGCTTAAACTAATTGTTGTGGATTTCATTAACTGACGAAGCCATGTTTTGGTTTAACCACCGCTAGCTCTTTTCCAGCCTAACCCTATGTCAGCTAACATTGCCCGTCGTCGTGGTAGGCGATGGCTAAGGATGCATGCGTAACACATGTCCTAACCATCTCAATCGATGTAACTTCACAACCTCATCGTCGATTGACTTCCCCTGCCACCTACCTAACACTCGACCTATGCCTAACCTCAATATTGCTCACCTTATTATACCACTTGACACGGGAGATAGAACGCAGATACCTATGATCAAAGGCAGCTAGCCGGCTTTTTCGTGTCTTCCATTCTCAATGGCCAGGTCTCACTCACAGGCATAAAGGAGGACGGAGCGGACTGATGAGCAGTACACTCGCCCTTTGGTCGATAACCGGATATCACTTCTACGCCAGAGACGACGTAAACTGGCATATGCGGAACTAGCCTTCTGTATCTGTGCTGACATTTCATCAGCGATCATCTCGTCGGCGTTGGCTGATGCAGCTTCCCAAATAAGTGAGGTGGTCAACACACCCCATCAACCACTTCACTCCCTATCTTCAAGCTAGGAGTCAACGGTTGGACTAGAGTAGAAAAGTGACACAAAAAATATACGGAATATCTTTCGAATTTATTTACTTATTTTTAAGGTTAATTTACATTTTCCGTTGATTGATTGATTGATTATGCATTGGATCGAAAGGCTCGATCTCTGTATGTGTGTTGACATGTCAGCTCCTAGTGGACGGAGCTTCAATGATGTCTAAGGATTAACTTGGAGTTATTAGAGTTGGTAGTAACAAGCAATAGAATCCCGAATATACATTTCGTCTTTGAGTAGCCGTCTTCGAATGTTTGGCATGCGATTCTCTCCCTTTGACAAATGTAAGATGATACTACAGGATTGGACCACATTGATTCCTGACTTGAAGATAAGCAGGAGTGAAGTGGTTGGTGGGGCGTGTTGACCTCTCCACTTATTTGTGGAGTTGCATCAGCCAACGCCAATGGGTTGGTCGCTGATGAAATCTCAGCACGGATGAAGAAGGCTCGTTTGGCATTTGCCAACAAACGCCATCTCTGGCGTAGACATGATATCCGGCTGGTTATCGATCAAAGGGCGTGTGTACTGCTCAGCAGTCCACTCTGTCCTCATTTATGGCTGCGAGTGAGGCATGGCCAATAAAAATGGAAGACATGAAAGTGTTGGCTGCCTGTCTCTTATCATAGGTGCCTGTGTTCTGTCTCCCGTGTTAAGTGGTATAATAAGATTAACAATATTGAGGTTAAGCATAGGTCGAGTGTTAGGTAGGTGGCAGGGGAAGTCAATCGACGATGAGGTTGTGAAGTTACATCGATTGAGATGGTTATGATATGTGTTACTCATACTTATCCTAGTCATCTCCTTCCCCGACGGGCGATGTTAGCTGACTGACATAGGATTGATCATGATGTAAAAAAAGCCAGTGGTAGTCAGACGAAAACATGGCTCCATCAGTCAATGAAATCCGTAAGAGTTAGTTTGAGCTAGCCAGCCACGTAGGGAGGTGTAGACTTCGTGACTGACTGGTTGAAGGTCCTCAGGATGATAAGATTCAAACCAATGATGGCTGGAGGCAATTGATGATATGGCTCAAAATCCTCGTTGTCATTGGCTGGCGCAGATGCATTCACTCTTTGTGTTTTGTCATATCCAGTGAAGCTCTACAGTTCTATATTACTATTCTTTTTGCCTCATATCTCCGTTTACTGTCTCTATTTTTCATTTCTTTTTACTTTCTTCCCTTACTTTGTGTGGTACATGAAGGGAGTGTGGCAAGTGGAACTGCTGCATATCTGTGCAAAGTTCTATGTTGAAGGCACTCAGTCATTCCTATTTAGGACTCGTCAACTGTGAATGTACTTGCCAGTCTCCATTGTGTGATGATGTTCCCAGCGAGACTCGGACTCAGCACTCCTTGTTCCAAACACAGACCAGAGCGTTATACACACGCATCACTCACTAAGGATTACAAATGCATCCAGATGACGAGTCACGAATACGGACGAAATGCGCATTGTCTCCTGGTTCCCCCTGCTAGTCATTATCAGTCAAACTAACTTCACATTCTCTTTATTATTGGATATAGTAATTGTGATGTAATCATAATGTTTGTTTTTTGTTTTTCACAATTATATTCTTCTAGTTAACTGTTGTCCCTGGTGAAACAGCCTTGGCATTTTATTCCGCTGAAAATCCAACAGATAAACCGATTGTAGGAATTGCTACTTATTCTATTGTCCCATTTGAAGCATCAAAATATTTTAATAAAATACAAGTAAGAATATATTTGATTATTTGTTTGCTTGTTTGTTCTAGTTTTTATATTTCAGTTATCGTAATTATGTTACACTTCTGTGTTTGTGTGTGTGTAAGAACTTGTGTTAGTAGTAGGTGTAATTAATTTTAAGTAAGTGGACTTACTGGTGCATCACTAGTTCCATGGTAGGTAGAACTATCAATCAACCCCTCATATGGTCCGTCTTGATTCCTGACTGACTCATTCCTCTCAACTAGCGTCTACTTTACCGGTCCTATACTAAATCTGAAAAAGACAAAAGGTTGGGTATAAGACTAATAAATCTCACCTGCTGCTGAGAATTCAAAAGAGCTCGCCTTATAACCAGAAAGTCTTGGGTTCGAACCCTGGCAGTGAGGCGGGTGCGTACCGATGAAGAGCCTCACACTAGGACGAAACATCTGTCCGGGGTTCCCAATGGTTCTCTAACCCATATCAACTTATGATGAAATCTTCCAGCCAATGAAACAATATCCCTATACAAACCGATACTTGAAAATTCCAAAGAACCTTAAAACCTTATGTTCTACTTGGGAATGCCCAGGAGACGTCAATTATTCGAACTCTCATAAGTCACATCAATTCACACTGAGATAAATCCAAAAGATTTAGTGAAAATTTTCTTGGCGATCTTCATTTTCTTTTTTTTATTTATGAATGTATTGATCAGTTTTTGAGAACACACTGTCCTGTGTGATTATATGAAATGAGAGAAGGGAAGTGCAGTAAATATAAATTCCTTTTCACGAGTTTGACCACGGATTGATATCAGTTAGAGAACCATTGAAAGCCAGCACTGGAGTACTGGACAGCCAGCTGTTTCATCCTAGTTTGGGAATCACCGGCAGTACACATCCAGTGCCACGGTTCGAACCCAGAACCTTCCGGTTACAAGTTGAGCTAGCTGGCTCGTATACCATTCAGCCACTGGGACCAGATTCAATGGCGCATGATGCTTGCTAGTGACTTGCTTCAGGACGGAGTTTCCTGGAGCGAGTTCTAGTGAGAAGTCGTGATCAGTGAGGTCGAACCAGTCAAGAGTGAGGATGGATTTCCCACCGATGACATTAGCTGGTGGTCGCACTAAATGCATCACCAATTGGTTGAAGTTAGAATTTATTGTGTGCCCATTGAATCGGGTTGGGTCCCAGTGGGTGAATGGTATACGAGCCAGCTTGCTTTATAACCGGAAGGTTGCGGGTTCGAACTGTGGCGGTGGGTGCATACGTACTGCCGATGATTCCCAAATAGGAAGGATGAAACAGCTGGTTGTCCACTACTCTCTGGTGGGTTTTCAATGGTTCTCTAACTGATATCAATCCGTGGTCAAACTCGTAAAAACAAATTTAATCCTTATACACCAACTCTAATAAATTCCTTGTTAGTAACGGTTATTTTATCTCAAAAACAACCTCTAACTTTACACATTCATTGAAAGAATTAGTATTCATAGGCTTATTGGATTTCTTCCCAACAGTTGAATAATTAACGGGCTTGCCTCGTAGGGGATGTTGGGCTCTTCAACCCCCGGTGGGGGAGAGTATAATGGCAGAAGACAATAGACTTGGTAAAGGAATGTTTATTAGGGAATTTGGTATCTCTATATATAGCGAAATTATATGCACCGTATTTTCAACGCACACACCATTTGCACAGATCATCTTCCGTGTTGTGCTACTTCTAATCGCCTTCCTTCATATTGTCTTTCTTTGTGTTTCTTTCACGTGTCTCCCACGTTTCTCTACAACGCTGTATCAACATTTGATTTCTCTGACATCAAATGTATCTCCCTATTATTTGATAATTTTATGCCAACAGACGTTTCTTTATATACTACTGATAAATCTTATCAGTAGCACACGCCTCAGAGGGACCGTGAAAGAGTCTCAGATTAAGATGAAACAACTGTTCAGTACTCATTCGTTTTTGAATGACTTTCTAACTTGTGTTTTAGCTCGTCATCTTACTGGGAAGTGGTAATCTCTCTTCATAGTTAGTGCTTCTTTATTATCTTAATTGTATAGTTATAGATTCGGCTTTAGAAATAAGAAAGTTAGAGATTTAGATATGACTAACTGACTGACTGGTTTCAGCGTAGAACTTTGCACCGATGTGTAGCAGTTCCACTTGTCACTCTCCCTCCGTGCAGCACAGAAAGCAAGGGAAGAAAGTAAAAAAGAAATGAAAAATAGAGACAGTAAACGGAGATATGAGACAAAAAGAATAGTAATATGGAGGAAGCATGCAATTTTATTGGGTATTATAATTTTCACAAGAAGTGGAGCATCTGGGCTATTGAGAACGATTTTGAGCCTTCATTTGTTCTTAGCATCCCGAGGACCCCAACCAGTCAGTCACGAAGTCTACACTTCTCTATGTGTCTGCCTTAATTAATTCTTATGGACTTCATTGACTGATACCACGTTTTGGTTTGAACACTGCTGGCTCTTTTCCATCCTAATCCATCCTATTTCAGATAACATTGCCCATCGTCATGGAAGGCGATGACTAGGCATGTGTAACACATGCCCTAAATATCTCAGACGGTGTAACTTCACAACCTCATCGTCGATTGATTTCCCCTCCCACCTACCTAACACTCGACCTATGCCTAACCTCAATATTGCTCACCTTATTATACCACTTAACACACACGGCAGATAGAACACAGGCACCTATGATCAAAGACAGATATAGCGAAAATATTCATTCAGACATCTATAGAACACAAAATAATTGAGCAAAGAATATCCCTTTCGATGAATTCCTCTTCTGGCTCTACAATTATATATACAACTTTATATACATAGAATATTCTAGAATAGTAGTCAATAACAATACTAGTGCTTTTTTAAATACTATTGATTTGTAAAGTAAGATCAATGGAATTACAGTTCATTGATCTTATTTAGCAAATTGATAGTATTTTAAAAACACCAACATAGCTATTGACAACTATTCTAGAATATTCTACGTATATAAACACAAATATATATAATTGTAGAGCCAGAAGAGGAGGAAATTATCGAAAAGGATATTCTTTACTCAATCATTTTGTGTTTCAAAGACAGATAACCGACCTTTTCGTGTCTTCCACTTTCAATGGCCATGTCTCGCTCACAGCCATAAAGGAGGAGGACAGAGCGAATTGCTAGGCTAAGGCTAGCAACTCCATCCCGTATAAGGTAAACACCACTGCTACCGAAACGTCAAGCCTCTAGCTTGAAGCCCCCCATGTTCCACTGGGAACGTAAATGAATAAAAAAACTAACGAAAAAAAAATATATATATACGCTGGTACTAGTTTATAGTCATTGTTATTTTATAATATAATAAATAATTTAACTGTTTTTTTTTTCTGTATTTCTTATTCTTATTATTATAACTAGTGTTTCTGTTTCGAAGAACAACGTCTCAATCCACATGAAAAAGTGAGTTGACTTATTGTTAGTTGCTTAGTTAGTTAGTTATATAGTTAGCCTGTTCTACTTTTCCCTGTTTTGTTGATTTTTTGAATAAATTTACACGATTGGACATGGGTGAGGGATTAAAATCTGTCGTAAGGTGTTTTCGCGCAGACCCCACAAACTCTTAATCGATGTGACTTCACAACCTCATCGTTGATTGATTTTGCCTCCGATCTCAGTATTACTCACCCTATTATACGACCTAACATGTGAGACAGAACGCAGACACCTGTGGTCGAAAACAGCTAGCTAACCCTTTCATGTCTTCTACCTTTGGTGGGTATGTCTCTCACTCACAGCCATAGAGGAGGACAGAGGGAACTGCTGAGCAGTACGCACGTCGTTTGATTGATAGCCAACAGGATATCACGTGTACGCCAGAGATGGCGTAAGTAAGTAAGCAACCGTTTTACCTATCCAAGTATATTTAGATGGAATCGGGGCAAGTTTGTTTTGTAATACCCCATATCCCCACTCATTGTGATAGGTTTCATACACGAATTTCTCCCCCGTCCACGCAGATTTAATGAATTTGAACAAAGCAATAAGAACAACACACCGGGTGGGTGTGGGCGGTTGGATAAAACAAAATATTCATTATTTATTTCGTCGGTATGTCTCTCGTCATCTGCATAAAGCCTAAATAATAAGGGAATTTAGTAGTTCTATTGCACGGAAATATCCGTCAGAACATTCCTAGAGAGAAAGGAACAAGAAACACCCAGCAAGTAGACGTATCTTTACGGCGATTTCATCCTCCAAAGCAGCTGTACAAACGCATTTCTGCACATTTGAATTCACATAGTTATAATTACAATCATTATTATTATTAAATCCAACATATTAACGAAGGTCCGACTGGAAGAGATAATAATTTCCACCTTGATATGAAAGTCTTGAAGGTGTGAGTATAAATCACAAGGGTGGTGGTGGTGGGGAGCATGGAAACAAAACTGCATAGGGTTAGAAAACAGTCGCTTCTAAGGCAGGTCCATCTTTCTATTCTTCTTCAGTGTATCTAATTTTGGCAGCTACATGTAAATTAAACACCACACTTTATATGTCTGATATCTAAAAATACATGAGTTTAACTCACACATGGTAAGATATCTATTCCAGGCAAATAAACACAATATGAAATGATGAATTATATTACTCATGTTTATGCTTCCCCCCCCCCCTCCAATTGGATACATCTAAGTCACGTGCGTTGATCAATTTAATTTTGGAATATTAGATGACTGACTAGTACTCAACATAGAACTTTATACATAATTGTAGCAGTTCAGGTTACCGTATTTCATGTAGCACATGCAGTTTTAGAAAAAGGGGATTCAAAATTCAATTACAATGAACAGAAGTGTACGCGAGAAGGGATGGCAACAAGAAAAAAACATATGAGGGTTTTTTATGGATCTTGGAGGTTGCAGCGAAGTACATTTTATTTTCGACGAAGCTATCAACTAGGTAGATCTGTACATTCGTGTATTTATAGTGAATGCATGAGAGGGTTCCAGAACTATTTCCGATCAAGGGTCAAGTTAAAAAAATTACAAATTGTAATAAAAAGAAAGATCGGATCATAATTTAAAACAATTAGTTCCCTTTATGAACTTAGACAAAGCAATAAGAAGACGTTTTTTTATTCCTTTACGTTTCCAGTGGAATATGGGGGGCATCAAGCTAGAGACTTGAAGTTTCGGTAGTAGTGGTGTTTACTTTTTAAGGGATGGGGTTGCCAGCCTCATGTCCAACCTTCCCTCTTTACCAGTCTTATTACTGGGATTAGCGAGGTTTAGGAGTGCGGTGTCGACCGGGGATTGAACCCCGAACCACATGAAGCGTGGTTGGCTAGCATTCTGCCTCTGTGCCACCGACGCACCCACATAAGAAGACGTAATTTGTCTGAATCGTATAACGTAGTATTTGCGCAACACATTTCGAACAATATGTTCACACCCGGACTTATCATAAGAATTTATATATGAAATTAATAAGGAGTCAAGAGGTGAGAAGATAAGTAGACTTAGGTCAAGTAAAAGGACATATTGAAGGTCAAAATAACAATGATGATGCGCGTTTTTTGTCGACTTTGGTATTCGTCAGCTGGATGAATGTATCTAAATCCGCGTTAATGATGTTCTTACGGAGACTGCTGAATCAGTGGCTTTGTAGATAACTCTGTCGTTTGGAACGATGTTTACGGGGAAGACCAACACTCACTGGCTGGTACAAGTACATTCAGATGATGAGGTCCTACGTAGGACGAAACCCACTTGCTGCATTATACTGCTAGTCGACAGCAAACAAATATGAGACTAAAATGTTTGATTCATACACGTGTCCTAAGATTTTTTTCTTGAGAAGAGTCATTGATGGCAAGGAGGTTTATGTTCTTCATTCATTGTTGTCCTTGAATGAGAATGATTTCGATTGTATGACACATACTACTAATTGAAAATGAGTAGTTAGAGCTCTTGTAGAAGGTTGAGTCAGTAAATTAATAGTTCTATAATTTGTTTAATGTCACACTTATTAGCAACAGTATCGGTGTAGAATTGAGTCACTTTTGGAGAACTGGGTTTATTAATTGTGATATGATTATGAATCACAATAAATTGTGTTCGACAGTAAATAATTCTGTTTCACTGTGTTTGATATATCTAATAATCATAGTTAAATGTCAAGTAGCAAAACAATTAATGTCATACATATAGAATAATTCATAGGATGGATAGAACTTGAAAAAGGGTGTGCAATTAATTATACGATTAGTAGACAAATCGAATAAAATAAAAACGTTACGTAACTAACATTGTGTGAAATTTGGTAGCATAGAATTTAACGTTGTAAAAAAGAAGAATTGATTTAGAATGACAAGTGGAACAAGTGAAATAATACCGGGGACAGTTCAAAGTGAGAATAATAATAATGGTAACAATTGACGTAATAAAGGAAGAGAATACAAATTGAATAGACCAAAAGAAAATACTTTACATGAGCGTGGAATTCAAACGTGACTTAGCTTCCGATATCATGAAATGAAGGATATCACAGTTCCCAAAAAGAATATTCCCTGCTGCGTCTCTGAGAATAGCCTTTACTAGTCGACCATTACTGTTCAGTAGCCTGCGGGACAAGATCCCGCTGTTGACCAACTCTATGTGTGTTTATCAATTCACCTGCTTGTGTGGAGCTAGGTTTATCGGTCGTTCGACTCGAATTTTGTCCAATAGGGTGCAAGAACACTATCTCTCGGCATGGTTACGAAGAGGTGGAAGTGGAGCAATAAGAAGCGCGATCATTGAACGTCTGCTCGATAATGATCACCCTATCTCTACAGCCTCCACCTTTCAAGCCATCTGTAAGGCGATAAGTAATTTGACCAAATCTCCACGTACCCAACTCATCTGTATTGGTGAAGCCATCTTTGGCTATCGAAACAGAAAAGCCAGATCTTTGTGTACAGAAAAAGTTCGTTCAACCCCTCCAACTTTCATGATCTTAATCCCTCATCTATGCTAAAGTATGGTAATCCCCAATCATATTTTAGCTCTACCAATTTTTCATCTTTTCATTTTTGTCTATTCAATTTGTATTCTCTTCCTTTATTACGTCAATTGTTACTATTACTATTCTCACTTTGAACTGTCCCCGGTATTATTTCACTTGTTCCACTTGTCATTCTAAATCAATTCTGTTTTGCAACATTGAATTCTGTGTTATCAAATTGCACACAATGTTGAGTAACGTTTTCATTTTATTCGATTTGTCTACTAATCGTATAATTAATTGCACACCTTTTCAAGTTCTATCCATCCTATGAATTATTATTTATCTAATAAACAAAAAAATCATATGGAATCACATACTACCACACAGTAGTGCCCTAGTTTGACACATCTTAATTTGACTAATGGTCTCCCTATGCGAAGACTAATTAATACGACTTTTGCAAACTGAGCCAAGATTCTAAATTCATCGTATTTTCAACATTCAATGCCTGAAAAATGAAATCACCTCTTGATATCTACGTCAACGAGATTCAGTGCCAGAGGGCAAAGTTAAAACAAGAATAGAAAGTCTAAAAAAGTATGCTTAAAGGAAGAGATCCACAGAACTGTTCAGAAGTTACTCAATATCACGAATGTAATTGATCAGCTAGAAAACATAAAGTCCTCAGCAATCAAATCTCTCAAATCAAAATTTCTCTAGGACACACATATCGAATGAGGCTGATAAGGGTTTGGTACATTCCTTATTGTGTGAGACAGTTTCCAGATTACTTCGATGACATTTTCAATGTTGATGAAGTTGGGGGTAGAGACTTGGCTGCTACTCTATTCTCTGTTCGATTATGATGTGTAGATTTGCGATGTGATTGCCACATGATTAGCTCTGCCTGAAATTCTATTTAGACATTTAGTTGGCGAGCGGATTTAGTGAAGAAATATTTACTTTTCAATGAGATCCTCATCTCTGGCTCTACAGCAGCGTTTTTATTGCAATACAGAAATTTTTTATTCAAGTATTGGTTTATGTAGGGATTTGATTGATTGGCTACAGGATTTCATCATCAGCTGACATCTGTTAGAGAACCACTGGAAAGCCCATCAGGGAGTCCTGGACAACTGTTCATATCGTCCTTGAGACTCTTCATCAGTAGGCACCCACTGGGGTTTGAACCCAGGACCTTCTGGTTACAAGGCGAGCTAGTTCGTAGACCATTAAGCCACTGGGGCCCGATTCAATGGCCAGTCCATGAATTATAATTTCTACCAATTTTTTTCGAATCTAGTGGTGATTGGTTTCTTAGTTCATATCAAATGCCAAGGGGTGTGTGATAGTTAACATACAAACAATTAAAGGGTAGAAATGGTTACAACAAGTAGATTGCACAATGCATAATTGTGGAAAAATAAAGAGTAAGTTAGGAATAAGTGAGTGTTGAAGTTGATTACGTAATGAACGATTAAATATGAAGTAATCATAAGAATAAAGTAATTTGGTTTATTATAATTTTTTGAAAAACAGCTTAGGGGGAGAGCGATATGGTCAGGTTTTTACATTCGTATAAAGAGACGGCCAAGTTATGGCAAGTGGCTGTACGAATTTATTCTGAACACACAGGTTTGGCTGCTTCAGGTGGATTCCGATGAATTCAGCTGTATGTAGAAGACGAACTCGTAAAACAAAATTAAGATTAATTAGAATACGATAAGTGACTTCAAGTACTGTATGAAGAACAATTTTATGCTCACTGTCTACAAAGTGTGCAAGAATGTTGTCATTCCCTATTAATTTGTTTATTAGATCATATCACACACACAGTGAAACGGTATTATTTACTGGATGATCAGGTTTCGAACACAATTTATTGTTGTTCATAATCATAATGTCATCCCATACAAAAGGATGGGATAAGATGACAGTTTTAAAATCGAATGTAACAGGGTGGAGAGACAGATTGATAACGGAAGCATTACTTAACAAATCAACTGCAAATACGTGTAATAGGAATGCTCCAACACCTGTCCACTCGGACATGTGGGAAATTCTACTACCACGCCTACGATGACAAATAAGAGAGAACAAAGAAAACTATAAAACTCAAGTTTCGAAGTCGTGTGATTATAATTGATGTTATGATGATGAACAATAAACTGTTTTGGAAACGTCATCCAGTAAATAATACTGTTTCACTGTGTATGATATATCTAATAAACAAATTAATATGGAATTATTAAAACACTGTTATATTTTTTGACTTTCAATATCGAAGATTATAAGTATAGTTCTATAGAAGTTTTAAGTGTTTTAGTTTTGCGGTTAACATCCAAAGGTTCTTAGTTATATGAAGATTAATTGAAGTTGTGAAGGCGTCAGGTTTCGACTAGAATCCACGCGTCATATCTTCACTCTTTGACAGGTTCTGGTTAGCAGGTATACGTCCAAGTGTTCGATTCTTGTCATACTTCTTGATCTGATGGGTAGCATTTAGCTCTATTGATCGTGAATTGTTGTGGTGACGTCTGACAATGAACTCACTTTATTCAAGTGTTGGTTTGTAGGGATTTGATTGGTTACAGGATTTCATCATGAGCTGACATTGGTTAGAGAACCATTGGAAAACCAGCAATGAAGTGCTAGACAGCTGTTTCGTCATAGTTGGGACTGTTCTTCAGTGCGCACTCACCAGGATTCGAACCCAGGACATCCTAGTTACAAGGCAACCTAGCTCGTAGACCATTGAGCCATTGGGACCAGATCAAATGGCCAGTCCATGAATTCTAACTTCTGCCAATTCACAACGTAGCGCAACCACTAGCCAATATCTTCGGCGAGTATTTGTCCTCACACCCGACCTGCTGCACCTTACTCGTCACGACTTCTCACTAGAACCCCAAGTAACTACCTACCTGAATAAGACAAGTCGCTAGTGAGCATCTCATCGATATTCAATTGTTGGTTTGTACGGATTTGATTGGTTACAGGATTTCACTTTACTTGAATTTATGCAGTGACATAAGAGTTGTTGTCTGAAATGGATAGCAATCATTGGTGACCGTCAGGCGTTCTCAGTGAGACTATATTTCGGTTATTGATCCAGGGACGTGTGAGACATGGTTATTTAAAGTGGAGGACCATACATATTTGCGTTCTACCTATCGTGTTAACTGATGTCATATGGTGAGTAATATTGAGGCTGGGAGTAGAACGTTAGAGTAAGGAGAGCTAGTCAATCAATGTGGTGCTAAAGCCATATATCGATTGAGATGGCTAGGACATATTGTTAACTCATACTAAGTCATCAGCGTCTGTGGCACAGTGGTAGAATGCTAACCGACCACGCCTCATGTGGTCCGGGGTTCGATTCCCGGCCACTGGACGCACTCATTTACCTCACTAAGCCAGTAATACGACTGGTAGAAAGGGAAAGTTGGGCATCAGGCTAGCAACCCCATCCCGTAAAAGGTAAACACCACAGTTACCGAAACTTCAAGCCTCTCACTTGAAGCCTTATGTTCCACTGGGAACGTATAGGAATAAAAAAAAAATACTAAGTCAACGCCTTCCTTGTCTGGTAATGTTAGCTGGCATAGGATTAGGTTGGAAAAGGGTTAAAGGTGATCAAATCAGGTAGTGGAGTCAATCCATGAATTCTTCAAGTGTTGTTTCAAGGTATCTACGTAGAAAGAGGTGCAGATTGTATGTCTGGGATCCTGAGGACGCTAAGAACCAATGGCTGTAGATCACTAATGATATGGCTGGAAATGGTTCTCAGTGGGTGGTAGCTCAAATGGATTCACTCTTTGCCATTTCTCAGATCCATTTTACTCCCTACATTGAAAACTCAAATTCAATCAGCGGTCAAATTAATCCATGAAATCGATGACATCTATATTCTGGTTATTTTATGCATATATATATATATATATATATATATATATATATATATATATATATATAATCTTGTGGTGCTATTCAAATTTATCGATTGGAGAGTAACACTGATTGTAACTGTTCTGTTGTCTATTTCTTTTTCGTTCTGTGTATTTCTATAGGTTGATCTACCTGTATTCTTCTATATTGATCCAGAGATTACATCAGATCCACGATTGAAATCACTTAACACGATAGTATTGAATTATACATTTTTTGAAGCTAAAAAATCAAAATTTTATGTCCCTGGGATAACAACGCCGGAGTATGCTGATGTACAAACACCACCAGCAACAACACCACAGACGACAGTACCAACTACCGAGTTAGTTAGCTAGTCAGTTAGGTAGTTTGTTAATGTGATGATTCACTCTGTGTGTAGTCTCATGGATCCTAGTCGAATTTTTTTTCGTATTCGCCTTCATCTTCTCTTTTTCCTGTCTCTTCTGTAAGACAGAGATTGTACATAGGACTGACTTCTTTCTCCTCTTATTTATTCTTATAAATCCTTTTGTACAACACGTCTTATGCTCCCACTTATTTTCTCATTTGTCAAATAGACAATTTTTGTGTATTTAACTGAATTTTAGATTTTTTCCCGTCGATTGATCGGCCCGAATTGCTCGGTCTCACGTTGACGTGTGGACTTCTTGTGCAGATGCTTCGACAATGTCTGCGCATGCAATTAGAGATTAATTTGGTAGATGGTGGCTAGCAGTGGAATCCACCAGGATAACGCACATTTCGTCCTATTTGGGTCTCATCAACTGGATGTACCTGAATTCCGCTTTGGCGTTTAAAACTATGGGCACTGGGTTCGAGCCTCGGTGGGAACATCATCACTCACTACGGCATGCAGGTACATCCCGTAGATGACGAGTCCAAAACAGGACGAAACGCGCGTCATCCTGGTGGATTGCAATGCTAGCCACCATCCACCAAATTAATTTTTGCATTTATTTGTAAAGAATTCTTGTTCACAAAACTTTATGTAAGTATCAAAACGAGTACTTGTCCAGTGAATGATTTTATATTTATGCCTAGTCAAGTGCAAAGGTGTGTCGTAGAACGTCTATTTCGTCATTACTTTAAGATTCTTCAACTGTATATACATAGATACCCATGATGAAGTCACTGAGGTGGGTGGGGTGAGGGGTACTGTCAACGCTTTTCTCACTACACAACTGGGGATTCACTTCTTAAGTTTCTCAATGATAACTATAGTGGGGATATACTACTACTTACAACAGTAGTAACAATAATGTATTCCCTTACCTTCCCAGTGGAACATAGGGAGGGCTTCAAGCGAGAGGCTTGAAGTTTCGGTAGCAGTGGTGTTTATTTTTTTTAACGGGATGGGGTTGCTAGCCTCATGCCCAACCTTCCCTCTATACCAGTCTTTTTACTGGGCTTAGCGAGGTAAAGGAGGGCGTCCAGTGGCCGGGGATTGAACCCCGAACTACATGAGGCATGGTTGGCTAGCATTCTACTGCTGTGCCACCGACTAATAATAATAATATCTGTATTCTGAATAGTATTTATAGAATGTACAGAATTTTCAGAGGAGTTTATTGCGTGATATTTTCCCTTCGTACAACATTTTCAAGTGAAAATATTAACTGACAGTATATCCTATGACATACATCGATCTTTGAGCTGAAGTACAAACCATTCCATTATGATATATATTTGCTTTGTCTCCATCCTTCAAGAAATCCACGATATATAGTTGAAAGTCAGATATTCAGAAGTACATCCTGAGACCCAAGGATATAAATGAAGAACAGCTGTCTCATGTATTGGAACATGTTGCTACCCACAATCAGGCCATTCCTCAACTTTAGTAGGAAATCGCGAATCAGAAGCTTCTCAACATATTAAATACGCACCAGAATAGATAATACCAATAGAGGTCATATTTTAACTGATTAAAAAAAGCGAACGAGACAAAATATATACAGTGGAGAGATGGAAGCTTTGGTAGCCCAAGGTTTAAGCAGGTTGTCATAGTCTGAATAGTTAAGCAGTTTTATCTCTTAACCTAAGCGTCCCAGGTCCATACCCTAGTGGTGGTTGTGCGTACTATCTGAAGAGATATTAAACTAAAAACGAAACAGATGTCCAGCAGTGTTCTTTTGGTGGGTTTTTTTCAGTGATTTCTCTAACACTGCTGTGTCTTAATTCGTGACAAAAATCTAACTAGCCACCTCTCCCCATATTATCTGATTTTGAACTGCATAATTGTTGTGACCGCAACTACAACCTAGTAGACTATAAGTGAACACTAACTTAGTGCTCTGGCTAATCTCTCCTCATCGCATGACAACAACAAAAGTAGCATGCAAAGACAAAATAAAAGAGTGAATGTCAATAAGAGGGCTTTTACTGTCTCAAAACAACGGTCAAAAGTGGTTGACAGCGCTTGGGTATACATATATATGTTTAAAATGACCTTGAGGGGCACTTAGTTCATTGATCAATATTCTTTAAAAATTTCTTATGGATATTTATGCTTCTCCAGGCAATTCATCCAAAAGAATATTTTCCCATTCCTTTCAGCAAGTTTGAATGACAACTGTTGAAACTTGTTCACTTGCTTTACTTTCACACAGTCCTTGCTATACTTTGAATTGTGGGATATACACATTACTTTTTGTGATCGATTTTTTATGAAGCTGTGGCAGAAATAAGTTGTCGGTAACTTTCTAATTGGACGCTAGTCAGTAACTAGTGTAATGTGTCAAGTCCCAACCTCGGTGCAGACTGAATTCTATCAGTCAAGTTTGCAATGTGGCCAGCATGCCACTAGGTGGCTCATCATCACGGTGCACTGTGAACTGTTGGTATTAGATGGTTGGAGGTAATCGGCAAGATGCCCTACCTGGCCCAAATTTCGTGCTAATTTTTACTCACCGGTCAGCAATGCGTATCCGCAAACTTGAGGGTACTCATACCCCTTCTGAGATTCAAACCCGTGTAACCCAGTGCCGCCTGAAGTCACAGACGTTACCACTGTGCTATTTGGCCTCGCGACTGACCTTTTGACTTCAACCATCTTATACAAACAATTCACAGTTGAGTGCACAGTGATGGCGAGCCACCTAGAATGTTTGCCACGTTGCAAACTTGGATGACAGAATTCAGTCTGCACCGAGGTTGGGACTTGACACATTACACTAGTTACTAACTAGTGTCCAATCAAAGGTGACCAAAGCAGTCCTACAGGAGGTCAATCGCGAGCCCAAATAGCTCAGTGGCAACTTCTCTGGCTGCAGCTCTGGGTGACGTGGGTTCGAATCTCAGAAGCCACGTGAGTTCCTTTATAGGTTGCAGATACGCCTTGCTGACTGGTGAATGCCAAATAGCACGTAACTTAGGTCAGGTAGGGCTTCCTTCAGTCGATTGCCTCCAACCATCTAATACCAAGTTATCGGTAGTAATAATGACAACTGAAAACGTAGAATAATGAAAATAGATTAAAGATCTGCAAGATTTTACATTCAAGTAATCTAACCATGTTGTTTCTAGAACATGAACTGGTCAAATTCTTACCGGTGAGAATATGTACACAATGTTATCAACTGATACCAAATGGAATTCGTCAAGGCACAAGTAATGGAGGTTTGTATCATGACAAACAAATGTTCACCTATTTTTTACTTTGAGGCTTCAGACAGCGGCCTACTTGAATCACTGGGCAACCTGATTTTCCATCCAACACAATGCTGTTTGTTTTAACCATTCAGTTATATCAGTGGGTAGCAAGGTGTACTAATGAACATTTTTAATTTATTTTCAACCTAACCGTGCGCATTTCTGGAGACTAGAGAAAAAATGAACTTGGGGAACATGTGTGTGTGTTTACTGACAAAATATGATTCTATTTTGAAATAGTTTGAGTCAGTATAATGAACTTAACATCCTTATGGGTTTAATAAAATGGCTAGACAATAAATATGAAAGAAGCTTTTTAACAAGAAAGCAATATTTGTCTAAGGAACACTACTTAAGTAATTTCGAAAATATTTCCCAGGGCAGATGGTGGGTACTCTCCTGTTTGCAAGAAACAAAATATACTACTGATTGACTGAGTTGAGTAGTTGTACACCGATAGTATCAACCAACATTGCTTTCTCTCCAGATCAAGGTGATCTAAACAACGGGCGACTGTTCCCCTGGTTTGGGACAGAGCTCATCAGAGGTGGATTCGGTTTGACTTAATTTAGAGGGACAGTCGAATCAGTTCAAACCACCTCATTCCCGGCTAGTTGTCGAACTGGTCATGCCATGAATCAAATTCATAATTTGTAGCGTACACAGTTCGAGTGGTGAAATTTAACCATAGTTTCCTTTAGAAACCAAGTTATTCCGGTCAAACACGGTACATCATCTGCTTGGTACTATAACTGGTAATCAAGGGAGCAACTATTCGATTCGTGTGAATCAGAATTTAAATTTAATGACTGGCTATTGATGATGTAGCTCACTGGTGTCTAGGTGCTTGATTTCCAACCACTGAGACACACTTTGAAGAGCCAATCCACTCACTTGAATGATTTAAAACCAACGTGGGAAAATTTTAGACAAAATGAGAATGAATGTTTCATCATATCGGGGGATTTCTTAAAGATTTTAATCGTAGGTTTGAATTCTATTCTTTACTTCCTTCATTTATCTGGCTAGGAAGCATGGTTTCAACCACGGTAGTCGGAACGGATGAAGATGTCAGGGCGGGCAAGATCGGAAGGGCCAGATGCGCCTTCATCAACCTGAAGTCAGTTTAGAATTCTTCCGGACCCACCCAGCCAGCATAAACAACAAGATTCGGGTTTTCAAGACAAATCTGAAGTCAGTTTGTTCTTCTATATGGATCGGAGACTTGGCCAGGGCGTCACGAAAAGGATTTCCAACATGTTACTGCAGACTTTTATAAACAGTTTTCACCTATTCTGGCTCCAAACTGAAGATCGAAGGGCGGCTGGCCATAAAGAAGTAGCAAGAGGAAACTCTTTCGATGAACAAACCAACAGGCAAGAGCCAATTGCTCAATGAATATGTAGAGAAAACGGAGATGTATGAAACAGGCATGCGTTGAGAAGGCCGCCGAATGATATCGCGCTCAATGCAGGCCATCGTTGGAGTGGATGTTGAACAGAAAGCGTCGACGAGTGGGTGGTTGCCACGAGGGCGACTTGGAGGAGATCGTTTATTGAGGAAGAGATGAGAGATTACAGGCAATCATGGATGCCAGTGAAGAGGACTGGAGAAAATAGAAGAAAGTGGTGATGTGTAGTTGAAGTCCTATATTTCCAAGATTTCTTGTACCTACTAAGGTTATACTATTTGGATATGGAGAGATTCATTGCGTTGAGATTATTTGGATAGGCGAGTATCAGTTTCTCGTTATACAGTAAGTAGCGGGTGTTATCATTTCCAATGAACAGCTATAATTTCATACGCTAAACGCATTCGCGATACGTTTAACAGAAAGCGACTTAGGATTAGATAGCTAGCTGTTTCAGAAAAAAGGGGTTTAAATAGCGATTCCTTGTACATATCAGTTCGATCAACAAGTCTGCCGATTTAAACAAATCGGATAAACAGACTTATCTGTAGATGTTGTGGATTGTGGTTATAGTTTGCAATATAATTGAGGGATAATGCTTTTATTTAAGGATTTCAAAATTACTGTTGCTTTAACATGCAATAACAATGTACCTGTGATCGGTCTGAGAAGACAAGGAAGATTGATTAAGAAGAAGGAGATTTGTTTCTCCATATAAAAGAGAAATGTCACTAGAAATTGAAACTAGTCATACGTTTATTCTACAATGCCCAACAAACTACTAATTTGAGCGCAAAATTAAAGTACCATAGCCAAAGTCGAAGTTGTAGCGGTAAATAATTCCCCAAAATTATTAACCACAACAATCATCACTCAACATTGGATGCTGACCGTCACTGTTTAAGTCGACTTGTTTAGCTGAAGGCTTGCGGTCAAGCATCCCCGCCATTTGGTGCTCCGTCGTGTCACGTGCGTGCACGATTACTAGCTAGCTAAGCATTCACCTCTACCCACGATTTTGTCCCGAAATATAATACGTACTTTGGACGACAAAATCTGGTCTTTTGCTTTACCATTTGGTACTCGAAGAACGAACACTATAGAAGTTGTTGGTATAAGATCTTGCGTTAGTATAATCCGTACAACTCGCGAACGTCGATACCATCAATCACCTAAACTGGTGATCCCGACCACGAACTACATCTTCAATTCACACGCAGATAAACCCGGTGAGTTCGTTCCTTTTTGTGTTTATTCTTGTACTATATTGTTATCGGCATACTTTTCGTCATGAGTGATCCTAGCCCCAAGGTTATTCAGATTCGCTCAACCGCCAAAACAATCCAGCTAGTACCATATTGGCCAGATAATGCTGAAACGTGGTTTCAGATTGCCGAGTCTGATTTTTGTGAACATGGCATAACTGATCAACATTCACAGTTCCTTGCAGTTATTCACGCCCTACCGCGGGAATTCAGCAAGTGCGTAACTCTGCAGATGTCGGTAAGTAACTCGTACGAGTTGCTCAAAGCATCCCTCCTCAAGAGAAGCGTTCTCACGGATCGACAACGTCTGGACGAATTATTTCGTAACATCGAGCTAGGAGATCAGTCAGCCGTGAGCATGCTGGCAAGAATGAAAGAGATCATTGGCCAAAGTCAGTTCGATGAAGGACTGTTTAGAGAACTATTTTTATCCAAACTGCCACAGTCAGTTCAGACTGTACTTGTGACACTTCAAAGTGTTCTCATAGATGACTTAGCTGTCTCTGCAGATAGAATTCTAGAGATAACGAAACGGCCAGTTTCCGAAGTATACTCTGTTACCGAACAGACTTCGAAGGATTCTGCAATGATAGAGTTAATCAACTCCGTCCAGCAGATGCTTAAGTCAAGCAAGCCTAGCAATTCCTCCTATCGTCGTTCTAAATCCCCTCAACGGCAAAGCGCACGTGGACGATCTAAGTCCAACACACGCTCTCTCAAAAATCCTGACTGGTGTTGGTATCACAACACCTATGGCAAGGAAGCGAAATGTTGTCGAAAACCTTGTGATTTCGGCAAAGCCTCCAAGTCTGTGGGAAACTATCCCGCCGGCACGCGTTAGCGGCAACCGTCGCCGGTGGCACCAGCCGCTTACTTTACATCCATGATGTAATGAGCCAGACTAGATATCTAGTCGACACAGGCGCCGAAGTCAGCGTCGTTCCTGCTACAGCAACAGATCGACAGAAGGATCCTAACTTCAACCTACAGGCTGCAAATGGAAAACCAATTGCAACCTATGGTCGGAAATACGTCTACCTGAACGTAGGTTTACGCAAACCTACTCAGTGGATTTTCCTAATCGCCGACGTCATAATGCCCATCATTGGCACGGACCTACTTAATCATCATGATTTGCTCGTAGACGTCAGCCGTAAACGACTAATTGACAACACTACTAGTTTGTCTATCAAAGGCATAACTTACGTAGGCCCCAGCTTGTCAATCGTTAAGATGAAAGCAATCCTCGATCCAACTTTTCAACCGATTGTTGACAAATATCTGGAACTCAATTGCCCAACTAACGATCTCCCGTGTATAACCAGCAATGTTATGCACCACATCATAACCTCAGGACAGCCCGTGACACCTAAAGCACGACGACTGGCCCCTGACAACCTGAGAATTGCCAGAAACGAATTCACTCATATGCTCACCCTTGGCGTCATTCGACCATCGAATAGTCCATGGGCATCCCCATTGCATATGGTACCGAAAAAGGATAGCAACGATTGGCGACCCACAGGTGATTACCGGCGAGTGAACGCCAAAACAACCCCTGATTGCTACCCTTTGCCTCACATACACGACTTGACGGCAACGCTATCTGGAGCATCTATATTCTCCAAAATCGACTTGGTTAAAGCGTATAACCAAATCCCGATGGCAACGGAAGATATTCCGAAAACGGCTATCATCACGCCTTTCGGACTTTTCGAATTCCTACGTATGCCATTCGGCCTCCGGAATGCGGCCCAAACATTCCAACGCTTCATCGATGAAGTATTTCGCGGTCTCGACTTTGTATACGCTTACTTAGACGACTGCCTCATTGCCAGTCCAGATAAGGAAACTCACCTTAGACACTTGGACTTGGCATTTGAAAGGTCACGCCAACATGGTGTTACCATCAATATACAGAAGTGTCAAATAGGCGTTGACTCACTCGATTTTCTGGGTCACACTATTGACTGTCAGGGCATACGCCCACTGGCTACTAAAGTCGAAGCGATACTGAACTTTCCGGAGCCAAAGACAGTAAAATACCTTCGCACTTTTAACGGCTTGGTAAGTTATTACCGACGTTTTATTCCTAATTGTGCTTCTCTAATTCAGCCATTAACCGATCTCCTTCGGGGGAACAACAAGGCTATCGAACTCGACACGTCTGCTCGACATGCTTTTACTCAGGTAAAGAAAGCTATTGCGGATGCCACCCTTCTTATGTATCAGGATCCAACGGCACCGTTGAGTATCTCGGTTGATGCATCAGACACTGCAATCGGCGCAGTTCTGCAACAACTAGTTAACAACGAGTGGCAACCACTCGCCTTTTTCTCGAGGCGCCTTCAAGTAGCTGAAACGAAGTACAGCACATTCGGAAGAGAACTTCTAGCTATGTACTGTGCTATACGTCATTTTCGACATTCAGTTGAGGGTCGTGAATTCACCATTTTCACTGACCACAAACCTCTGACGTACTCTCTGAACTCAACTTCAGATAAGTATTCACCCAGGGAATCGCGACAACTAGATTACGTTTCACAGTTTTCATCAGATATTCGCCATGTTTCCGGAGTGAACAACACTGTGGCAGATGCCTTGTCACGTATTTGTTCTTTCACCCAAATTGACGGCATAGACCTTGTAAAACTGGCTCGTCTTCAAAAAGAAGATATTGAGCTTCAGCATGAGTTGTCGAAAACAACTCTACAACTAGCCAAGAAACCCTTAGGTATAGGAAAGGATACTATTCGGTGTGACATTTCCACTAGTACTCCTCGCCCCATCGTGCCTAAAAGTTATCGCCGTAACGTCTTCAATACGTTGCATGGCTTATCCCATCCAGGTATTCGAACTACTGTCAAGCTCGTAACTAGCCGGTTTTGTTGGCCTGGTATTAACAAAGAAGTAAGGGAATGGGCACAGACGTGCTTAGCTTGCCAAAAGTGCAAGGTAATAAGACACACTAAAAGCCCCCTTGGCACTTTTCTTATCCCTGATGCCCGTTTCGAACACGTCCATATAGATTTAGTTGGCCCCCTTCCAGAATCTCATGGATACACCTATATGTTAACCTGCATCGATCGCTTCACACGATGGCCTGAAGCAGTACCCATCAAGGATATATCTGCTGAAACTGTCGCACGCGTCTTTGTAGAGAGATGGATCGCAAACTTTGGATGCCCATCTTCCATAACAACTGATCGTGGGCGGCAATTCGAAAGCGGTTTATTCTTCGCTTTGACTAAAATCCTTGGTTGCATGCGTTTTCGAACAACAGCCTACCACCCAAAAGCTAATGGTATGGTAGAACGTCTACACAGACAGTTGAAAGCTGGTTTATCAGCTGCAAATAACACCCATTGGACTGAATCCCTCCCGTTAGTTCTCCTAGGGATACGAAACGCTTTAAAAACCGATGCTGGTTGTACTACCTCTGAGCTAGTATATGGCACGACACTACGACTGCCAGGTGAGTTTGTTTCTCCCTCGAGCTTCCCACCAGCGGTAGATCACACCTCATACGTCAGTAGGCTTACAAACGCAATGCGTTCAGTTAGACCTGCTCCCCTCCGACCACAGTCCATTGATGTTTTTGTTCACCCTTGTTTAAAAACTTCTTCACACGTATTTGTTCGTCGCGACTCGGTACGTCGTCCTCTAGAACCCCCGTATGACGGACCATATAAAGTCATTAAACGTATGGATAAATTCTTCGTCTTAGACAAGAAAGGCCACGAAGACACCGTCAGTATCGACCGTCTCAAACCGGCTTACTTGGAAGGTAATCCTATTAGCCTAGAGCTGAGCGTACCTAATAATCCACAAGTAATAGAATATCCTGTAGTCTTCGAAGAACTTCCTGGCACGGCGAAGGCCACCAAAACTTCGGTCGATCACTCTAAGAAAACGCGTTCTGGACGTCACGTTAGATTCCCAGAATACCTTCACACCTATTTCACATAACTGAGTGACACATCAATTTTTTTATGTTGCATCATTAAACACAAGTAAATGATATTTTTCCTATAACCGTACATAAAATTAAATTAGATGTATATTTTTTTCCCGATATTTTGAACTTTACATTATTTTACTGTATAGTAGATGCATGTCATATTTTTTTGGTAAAAAAACGCTTATTTGGTACATTTTTCTTGACAAGGTTCTCAGCATTCTTGTTTTCTTTTCCAGGTGCAACGGGCACTGGACAGGAAACAAACGAAGCACGGGATCCAACGAACAACATTGAGGAAGCTATGTACAGACACCCTATTAGCATAGGCAGACAGACCAGCAGGCTCTCGATCAAGCCACTCGGAAGATTTTTTTCACCCATCAGGGAACCATCGAGATTTTTTTACTTCCGGCTGGTCATGTCTTAGGGTCCTCACAAACCCACTAGGGGGGGAGTGAGCTGTAGCGGTAAATAATTCCCCAAAGTTATTAACCACAACAATCATCACTCAACATTGGATGCTGACCGTCACTGTTTAAGTCGACTTGTTTAGCTGAAGGCTTACGGTCAAGCATCCCCGCCATTTGGTGCTCCGTCGTGTCACGTGCGTGCACGATTACTAGCTAGCTAAGCATTCACCTCTACCCACGATTTTGTCCCGAAATATAATACGTACTTTGGACGACAAAATCTGGTCTTTTGCTTTACCATTTGGTACTCGAAGAACGAACACTATAGAAGTTGTTGGTATAAGATCTTGCGTTAGTATAATCCGTACAACTCGCGAACGTCGATACCATCAGTTACCTAAAAAGTCATTCAAAAGTAGACCTTCGAGGACCTATGAGACACAGGAAACGCTATGAAATGTAATTCCAAATCAAATCATGCCCGCCTTTTTGAACTTGGAGGAATATTTACGGTATTCTGCGTATTCGCTATGTAATCTTTCTGCAAATTTGTACTATTAGGTAGTGTCATGACGTTTACGATTAAGATTTAGAATCTAGGGTTTGGGTAGGGTGCAGGGTAAAATTTGGCGTTAGGAGTTAGGGTTATGGTCAAGGTTAAGCGGTAGTTTGAAGAATGGTTTCAGAAATACCGATGGACCTCAAAGTGTCATGACCTACGGTCACTCGGATGAATGAGTATATCGCGCATGGTACGATTTATTCATAGATGATCTGTGTATTGACTGGGAGACATTCTTACAACACATAAGCTACAACTATACAGTGTAATACCATGTTAGCAATAATTTTTTAGTGTATCTTTCAACGATTATTTGGCTCTTGTGCATCGGAGTTCTGGTTGGTTGCCCAAGGTCACTAGGGTTTAGACATGATAGTTTGACTTTGCCAATTTGGGCTATGAAAACTACACTTTGGCTCATTAGTATGTAGTGCACATTCTAATGTTCAAGACATGTTTTAACGTATACACTCACAGACTGACGCCGACACCATTTTTGTACTCTCTGCTTATGTGATAGACAGTTACATTCTCTGAGTTGGTTGTACAGCCTTTCAAACTAGATAAGTTACCAAATCGTTTTGCCAGAATTACCTTGACTTCTTATAACATCCAAATATACTACTGGAAAGAGCAAATTACTATTTATTCGGGTCTCTTTAATTTGCGTCTCGTCATCAATACTTACAAGATTTATCGAACACCAAGCAAACTGCATTCATCAGAGTTGGGATAGTTTGGCTTATCTACATCATTACCAGCACTCTACAAATACGTACTGGTATTTTCCTGATTTTTAATTCACGACAAGGTTAACCGTCTGATTTTCAAGCCATATGAGGAAAGATAGGTTCTAATATTTCACCTCCTGGCGTAAAAGTTGTGTAGTTTGAGACAATGCGGAGGCCTTCCTTATACTTTCATTGTTGAATTTTGTAAATAACAACGACGAGTATTGGTACGGGGTTCGATCCTCGGCCGACTCACACCTGATATCAGTGGTAAGCCTGCTAGATTCGGGCTACCGATATCACATGCTGAAAATTCCATACTTGTACCAAAATACTATGTGGAATCAAGCTATGATCAAGAAAAATAAAATAGTTTTGTTGGTGCCTAGGGCGTCTGCTTTACTCAGTTTTTAGAAGCTAATAACATTTTAAGAGGGGAAAGGATGTTTACGTTTACGGAAGGTACGTTGTATACAAACACATATTCTTATCCTCCAGCTCCAATAATACTCACTCTACTGAAACCAAAGACAAGTTAGAACACCAAACTTACTGTGCAAAAAGTGGGATATATTTCCGGATCAGAGTCGTAGTGCGATGGTAATTGCTTAGCTAGGTAGGGATCCTGCATAAGTGACAGAATGTAACACGGCAGCGTGCCAAATGGAATGGATGCTTGAACGCGAAACTTCAGCTTAACGAGCTACCTACAGCAGCGACCGTCAGCATCTAACGTCTCGTGGAAAATGCTGTAGGCTAATGATTTTAAGGAACTGTATGCCGCTAAATCACTATCTGTTCTGCCTAGGACTGTATATATCTACGTATGACCGGTTTTGTGACTACTGAAGCCATTGACGAATTTCATTGCTTCTAAAAAGGGCTGAGACATAGTTTTTCAGCTGAGGTTCAGTAAATGAAAGTCAGTGTTTTCTTCGTACATATGATACTTTGGAATTATTTATCTGTTTCTCCTGTGGCTGTAAGTAGCTGGATTGTTGGAACTCGATACTCTGAGGCGGGAAGATTTTCTGGTGGGCCTTACAATGGTCGGTAAATTAGCCCGCAAGCTACATGCGGCGTTCAAGTCCAATTTATGATAGTGAACTTCTAAACCTCACCTTGTGTACTAGTGGGCGCTAAGCCTAACCCTTCCACCCAATCTGATGTCCAGGCTATCATTAACATTGCTTCAACCAGCGAAGGGAGGACATGCCACCCACAGTTTTTCAAGGATGCGCGATGCAATTTCCTGTTCAAAATTTTGTCTTCACGTTTGCACATATAGACTGACCCCAACGCCATTATTATGTTCTTCCATTGTGCCGTCAACATGCAAATTCTTTAAATTTGTGATACAGTCATATTCGTTAGATAAGTTCCAAATCTTCATATCTGGATAATCCTGACTTTTTATTTCAACCAAGTGTACTGCTCACTAGAGCACATTTCCAATCAACCAGTCCTTTTAATTTGCGTTTCGTCTTCAGTACATACAAGTTAGGTGGAGTGCTGATGTATTGGCTTTGCTTGAAATGTTACCAATAACAAAACTTATGATTGTGTGTAAACTGTTGAAATATATTTATGCTTTATTTGCTAATCTGGAATGTCTAACAAAAGAATGGCCCAAACGAACACTGACAGGTCACGAGTGTTCATGATTCTAAATGGAGTGACATGCAGGTACTAAGGTTACTATTATAGAGGAAATAATCTTCCGAATTTCTACATTCATTCGTAAAGATAAAAATTCCCAATGATTAATTTCGAAATGGATTATTTTATCAATTAATTATTATTAAGCACACACGAAAAAGCACATTGTTTCACCATTTTCTACCTTGCAGTGGATGTACATCCTCGAAGCGACACCAGTTCGTCGGTGGCATAGCGGTTAGGACGCTCGCCAACCATGCACATGGTCCGGGGTTCGATCCCCAGCCGGCGCACTCCTTTACCTCGCTAAGCCAGAAATAAAGCTGATAAATAGGAAAGTTTGGGCATGAGGCTAGCAACCCCATCCTGTAAAAATAAACACTGCTACAGAAACTTCAAGTCTGAAGACCCCATGTTCCACTGGGAACGTGAAGGAATAAAAATAAAAAAGTGGATGTACACTGAACCACACGCCCAGTCTTCATTGTGTTATGTCATGAGTGTTAGTCCTGTTTGGCCGGAGACGCTTAAAATAAGCCCGCTGAGATGCGACGATGTATTATCATTAAAATACTTAAAGTGATTACTTACGCAGCAAATGTTCTCTTAGTTTATCACTCTTATTTCCCTTATAACATTCAGTTTTTGAGCCTAATGTATTCTTTGATAATACGAATTATAACAATGATTACACTCTTATCGTATATAGATTGATTTACTTTACGGCTACCTGTAAGACTCACTAACTTTCTGTGGTATTGTTAACCAAATGCTGAAATTTTGTTGGTACTGCTAATATCTTTTTATAATATATGTAGACAGGTTACTTTGCAATGTCAAATGTTTACTATATATAAAACTGTCATGATAATTTAGTACACTTGGTCCTGCCAACCGACCTTACCTTCAGTTCATACTACCTATATTGAACCCTAACTATATTGTTCTGCTGAATCTTGTTCCACTATTCACAAAACCTATTCTTGTTATTCTTCAAGGTTTTTGTCTTCTTATAAAGTAATCTGTTCATTAGGACGCATGCATACATATATAATATGTTCATAAAGATGTACGCGGGGACCTATTGGAAGCACTCATTAAGAAAGCTAGGGAGATGGAATATGGGGTACGAACATGTCTGGTACCAAGCAATATATATGCGGTAACCATAATAATCATAGTCTCAGAGCCTAACATCAAAAAAGGTGGGAGGGTGGAGTTAGCTGATCAGTAGATATGGTGGTGGACACTAAGGTGAATCGCCCCATTCTGCAGGAACAGCGTAAAAAATTTGAAGGCTCGAGATATTTCTGGTTTTTATGAGGGCTTAAATCTTTATCTTGAAAAAGATAACAATGAACGCCTTGACAGATCATGCTTCTACCTTTAAATATATACCATTCACCCAGCCTATTGTTGAGATGCGACCATGTGGGATCTGCTCAGATTTATGGGGCATCTTATAAATTAACTTGCTGTCTATCGTCAGATCTTTTCATACCACTCCACAATGTCTTATCTCATTTATTTTCTGACAACGTCTTTACTTGATCCTCATTTTACTCCATTAAACTTAACATCTTATAGCTCTTCATTACTTATTATACTCCTACTCTCTGAAGGGTACGGTTGTGCACTAAATGCACAAAAAGGTATAAAATAAAAACAACTGGCATGAGGATAATTGTATTAAAACCAAAAGTGGATATCATGATAGTTTGTGATATATCTGTAGCATTATACATTGTAAATGAATGTTGTTACCCTAGGGTGTTTCCTTTATTAATGCATTTATTAATGATACTTGCACTTACCTATCTCATTACAATTTAATGATTCACCTCAGCACTTTAATTTTTATAAACAGATTCCAATCCCTTGTAAAAGGTGTACTTACCTCAATATTGGTTGGTTATCGTATGCCTACAACCACGGGATGAAAACGGAACGAAGTCGATTTTCCCGCTCAACCTGGAGGACAACTGTACAATTCAATAACTATACGGCCTAATTCAGAAAATGAGTGTATTATATGTATCGAATATTTAACAGTTGAAATACGATT